GCTGTTTGTAGGCTTGAGGACGAAGACCATGCGGGTGGTGATAGAAGAGGTTGTAATGGGAGGAGAATGCTCGTCATGGCAGGATAGAGAGAAGGAGAGAGAGAGAGAGAGAGAGAGAGAGAGAGTATGAGAGTATGAGAGAACAAGAACACAACGGGTAAATAACAAGTCATGAAACTCGCACACAATTGGATCCGAACCTTTGAAAACCGACTGTGATGAGGTGAGAAGACTGTTTCATTCCTCGATCGAGGGCGGGAGGACTGTCTCAGGTCACCGTGATAAAACAAAGTTCCACGTTTTAAAATCTTAGTCGGCCTCCAAACAAGGAAATCACAGCCCACTCGGCTGATCTCGAGCCCACACGGCTGAATTCGATGGCCGTGGGACATGTATGAGGAAAGACGGGATGAAATCAAAACACATGATCACCAGAGAGAGTTGAGAGGGGACTTTCGGCGTTTGCACGCCGCAATGTTGACGTCGATGGTAGAGCAGAGGAGGACGACCCCATCGCGGATCCAACTACGCGGTTAGTTGGCGGGGGGGTCAAGGTGGGAAGCCGCCCCCTTGTGGAGTTCGGGGGGCAGCGCCCCGAAACCTAAATCCGATGCTGGACGGAGCAGGGCGCGCAGGGTGTGCACGGTCGACGTGCAGGGCGGAAGGCTGGTGTGCAGGGCGAGTCACCGTGGCGCGTCCGCCAGGCGCAGGACGCACGAGCGCTTGGGCAGGATCCACGGGACGCGTGAGTGCCCGCGGGAGGCTTGTACGCGGCGCGTTGCCAGCGCTCCAAGGGATGCTGATCGGTAAGTCGTCGGGCACGCGAGCACTGACAGAGAGACCTGCCGGCGACGACAAAGAGGATTGACCACGGGGTGGGTAAGGGGGGGCCACAAGACGGCAGTGGTTAAAAGCTGCAGTGGTCACATGGATCCCTTAGGGCATGATCTCTCGTATAAGAAAATTCTTATGAAGATCAAAACCGTCGTTCAATAGAAACCGTAAGCCTATTTATAGGCCTCAGGAGGAGAGAGAGGATTAAAACCTAAAGTAAATAAAAGGAAATTAAATATGGGTAAATCCTAATAGTAATAGAAGTTTGGATCCAACGCTCGGGTCTGCCGGCGGCTACGTGGAGTGGCCTTGATAATTTGTGGGGTCTCCGGAGGAGGTGTGTGGAGTCTAATGACATCGTGGTCGCCGATGTTGGGGCTAGGCTCCATGCCCCACCAATTCCCCTGGGGTTAGCAAAACTCGACTCTGTCAAATGGGGTTGAGAAAACTCTAGTGGTTCCAACAAATCAGGTCTCATGTTTGCCAAGTCCGCTTCCATGATCCATGAGTCATTTAAAGAGGATCGTCCCTGCCAATGAACAAGAAATTTGCATTCCATGTCACTCTCGGTGACGCTGATGATCTCATCCAATATTTTCTCGATGTGTTCATGCCTATCGGGAGAGGGGATGGGGGAGTAGACGAGGCAAACTCACTATCCGGTAAAGTCATAGGTAAAGGTGAGCTATTAGTGTTGGGTGGAGCTTTATATAAAACCAAATCTGAGTTGTTGAAGGTGGAGTTTATCCCCACATGGAGGGTATACCAACGACATAGGCATTTTCCCCAACTCATTGAGGATTGAAAACAGTCCAGCACTACACGCATCAAGTTTAGTAGCACTCTCAGGAGGAAATCTCTTTGGCCTGATTCTCACCATCACAAAGTTCCCTTCTTCAAAGGTGAGAAAACAACGATGTGAATCGACAGCTTGTTTATATGATGCATTACTACTCGTGATGTGATGATGTATTTCCTCATGCAAAGTCTTAATATGTTTAACAAATGACTCGGCATCATCTGAGATCCTAACATGCTTAGACATAAGAAAGAGGTTGGTAGGCTTTCATAGAGGGTAACCATATATAATTTGAAAGGACTCTTACTAGTGGCACAGTTGATAAAGGTGTTATAGGCAAACTCCGCATGTGGAATGATGAAGTCCTAAGATTTCATGTGATCCCCTACTGATAAGTCTTCATTATCATGAGTTAATAATTAGTAAATAATATAGTTTTAGCCTTAACTCATGATAAATAGACTTATATTTGTGTTAAAGTGTGAAAAGTGATTTTCAGTTAATTAATGTGAATTTTTGGGTAATTATGTGATTTTACATGAATTTATATGATTTTTACAGTCTTGCTTTTGAGATAAATGAAGAAAAAGAAATAAAAATAAGACAAAATGAGGGAGGGACCCGTCGGTCAGCCGGGCCCACAAGTGGGTCGGAAGCTCAGTCGGAGAGTAGCCGCGAGCAAGGGCTCGAGTGGCTTGGGCCGATAGGGGCACGTGTGCGCCACTCCCCTTCCACGTCACCAGTGGCTAGCCGGCTGTGGGGCAAGGAGTGGTCGTACATGCGAGAGAAAGGACTTTGTTTAGAAAGTTAACATCACTATATATTCACCTGAAAAATCAGCGCACAACTGATGTGGGACTAAACCCGCGTCACACCTTCCTCAGAAGGGACGGACAACCGGCGCGGGTTCGAATCCTCCTAGAGTCAAAATTTATATATTTTTATCTCATTATCGCGACTTTCCTGCAGATCGCCGGTGAAGGATTAAGCAACCAGAATCGTTGGATCATCGACGAAAATTTCGTCAACGCGATTCGCAGAGCATTGCTACTAAAATTTCTGAACGATTCGCGATAAAAGGATCGCGAATCCATCGAGTAAATCATCTCTGATTGATCGACGAACAAGCCGTCGTCGGGAAGAGGACGATCCGCCGAGAGACAAGTCGCCACCTCCTAAGAGCGTACCAGATGCGATGAAGAGCCTCCTCTTGCTACGCGGACCTGAGGATGAAGCTTCCTGACACGCGCCCCACCTCCATCCAGCTCCTCTCCGTCGGGTGACAGCTGCTGGAGAGCCGCAAAGTCACCATTTTTCCGCTCCGCCGGGTGACAGCCGCCAGAGACGACTCGGCGACCCATTTCATTAATTTCTAAACTTCGCGAGAAGATCTAGAGATTGCCTACGTCGTCTTTGCCCAAAGAGAGCCTTCGAGGCCGTGGACACTACACAACGATCCTCCTGAACGCTCAGGATTCCGGTGCATCGCCGACGCATCGCCATCGCGACACTGGAACTCTGTTTTCCTGCTTTCAAACTTACTTTACGCTTCATTTAGTGATACTTTTTGTGATTTTAATTTACCAAAATATACTTTGTTCTATTACGATTCTTCCGGCTTTTACAGATCTTAATTTGATTAACTAAATCGTCTGTAATCGCTTTCGTAAGAATCGCCGAGCGGAACTCTGTTTCCGCCCGATTCGCATTCGCCGGGCGCTGATGTCATCCTGACGTCAGCACCCTTATTTCCTTCTTTTTCATGAATTTTAAATATATTTCCTTTTCATTTCCTAGTATAAAATTAATAGAAAATCGTATTCATTGAAAAAAATTCTGAATAATTACCAAGTATTATATTACATCCCTGTGATCGACCTGGAAAATTATCACTATTTTTGGAAGTTTTATTGAATTATAATTGATATATTTATTCAGAAATACTTCTAAATAATCGAAAATTTGTATTTTCTAGTTTTATAAATTTTAGATTTGCGTGATTTAATATACAACGACTGAGTCACATCACCTACCAAAGATCGTAAAAGGTTTCCTAAACTACAATTGATGACTTTGATTTGACCATCAATTTGGGGATGGAAGGCAGTGGAAAGTTTAAGTTGATACCTAAAAGATGCCAAAGTGTTTTCCAAAAATAACTAGTAAAATAGATATCTCTATCAGACACAATACTCTTTGGGAGATCATGGAGACAAACGACATCATTGAAATAGAGTTGTGCAACTCGAGAAGAATCAAAAGTTTTAGAACATGCTATGAAATATGACATTTTTAAAAAACAATCAATGACGATCATAATAGAATCATGATATTGAAGAGCACGTGGGAGGCCTAAAACGAAATCAATGCTCACATCTTCCCATGGTCCTTGTGGAACATGAAGAGGGGTGTAAAGGCCAGTATTATACTTCACCTGTTTAACTAAAGCGCAAACTCAGCATTGAGATATGATCTTAGCTATGTCCCATTTTAAAGACGGCCAATGGAACTGATGCTCGATGGATGCTAGTCTTATCTCAACCAAAATGACCACTCAAGCCTCATGCGTGAATCTCCCAGCCAATGAAATCTCAAAGGGAAGTACAAGGGATACATAAGCATTGATTATAGAAAAGGTAACTGCCGTTTAAAATGTAGTTTTTTTTGTTTGAGGAGGGTCCCTATACTAGAGAGTGAATAATGGGTGAAAAGTCAAGGCATTGGGCATAGGAAGATCGTAATTCTTCAAAGTCAATCACTTTGACCTTCATAACATTCAAAAGATGGGATCTTCGACTTAGCACATCAACTATGCGATTTTTTACACCCTTCTTGTGCTTCAAAACGAAGGTATAAGATTGAATATATTCGACCCAACGACCATGGCGAGGATTGAGTTTCTATTGAGAATGTAAGTATTTCAAAGCCTCATGATTAGAATAGAGGATGAATTCTTTAGAGAGAAGATAATGACGTTGACATGATTTAGTCATTGTATAATAAATCACACAAATTTAAAATTTATAAAACTAGAAAATATTAATTTTCAGATATTTAGAAGTATTTCTGAACAAATATATCAATTATAATTTAATAAAACTTCTAAAAATAATGATAATTTTCTAGATCAATCATAGGGATATAATATAATATCGGATAACTTCTAACAATGATTTGACTTACGATTTTTTTATAAATTTTATACTAAAAAATGAAAATAAAATATATTTAAATCAAAAAGAAAAATAAGGGTGCTGATGTCAAGATGACATCAGCGCCCGACGAACGCGAATCAGGCAGAAATAGAGTCCTACCCGGTGACGTGGGTAATCTCTAGATCTCCTTGCGAAGTCTAGAGATCAATGAAATGGGTCATCGAATCGTCTCTAACGGCTGTCACCCGGCAGAATGGAAAAATGGCAACCTTGTGACTCTCCGGTGGCTGTCACCCAACGGAGAGGAGCTGGATAGAGGTGGGATGCGTGTCAGGGAGTTTCATCATCAAGTCTGCATAGCAAGAGGAGGCTCTTCATCGCATCTGGTACACTCTCAAGAGGTGGCAACTCATCTCTCGGCGGATCGTCCTCTTCCTGACAACGGCTTGTTCGTTAATCAATCGAAAATTATTTACTCAATAGATTCACAATCCTTTTATGACGAATCGTTCAGCAATTTTAGTAACAATGCTCTGCGAATCACATTGACAAGATTTTTGCCAATGATTCAGCAATTCTGGCAGCTTAATCCTTTACCAATAATCTGCAAAAAAGTCATGATAATCAGATAAAAATACAAGTTTTGACTTTGGGAGGATTTGAACTCGCGTCGATTACCCGCCTACATGAGAGAGATTGAAATAAGTACTCTAATACCTTTATCAAGTGACATCATCATTGTATATCTCTGTTATAACAAAAGGGTATTTTAAGTATTAAAACCTTCGAACCCTTTCGGGGGAAGGTGTGACACGGGTTTAGTTTCACATCGCTTGTGCGCCAAAGTTTTGGACAAATATATAGTAATATTATATTTACAAGTAATGAGTCCATTTCTCCTGCGTGTACAACCACTCCTTGCCCCACAACTAACTGACCACTAGTGATGTCGAAGGGGAGTGGCGCACACATGCCCCCATCGGTTCTACCTACTCAAGCTCTTGCTCATGGCTCCCCCCTACTGTGCTTCTGACCCACTTGCGGGCCTGACTGGCCGGTGGGTCCCTCACATTTTGTTATATTTTTATTTTTATTTCTTTTTCTTCATTTATCTCAAAAATAAGACAATAAAAATCATATAAATTCATAAAAATCACATAATTAGCCAAAAATTCACGTTAATCAACTAAAAACTACTTTTCACACTTGAACATAAATATAAGTCTATTTATCATGAGTTAAGGCTAAAAATATATTATTTACTAATTATTAACTCATGATAATGAAGACTTATCAAACATCAATGATGGAGGGATTAGACGAGAATATAAAATTCTTTATCATCAATTTAATTTTTCATTAAAATAAGTAATAGGATGATTTTATTGACTTAGACCACACCACCTATACCTAAACCCAATTGACATGACTTAATCATTGTATAGTAAATCACGCAAATTTAAAATTTATAAAACTATTACAAACGATTTAATTGATCAAATTAAGATCTGTAAAAGTCAGAAGAATCGTAATGGAATGAAGTATATCTTGATAACTTTAAATCACACAAATTATCACTAAATGAAACGGAAATTAAGTTGAAAGTAGAAAAGTAGGAAAACAGAGTTCCGACATCGTGTCGGCAATGCATCAGAATCTTGAGCGTTCAAGAGGATCGTTGTGCAGTGTCCACGGCCTCGAAGGCACTCTTTGGACAAGGACACGACGTGGCCAAACTCTAGATCTCCTTGCGAAGTCTAGAGATCAATGAAATGGGTCATCGAATCGTCTCCAGCAGCGATCACTCGATTGAGCGGAAAAATGGTGACTTTGCGGCTCTCTGGCAGCTGTCACCCGACGAAGAGGAGTTGGATGGAGGTAAGGCGCGTGTTAGGGAGCTTCATCCTCAAATCCGCGCAACAAGAGAAAGCTCTTCATCACATCGATATGCTCTCAAGAGGTGGCAACTCATCTCTCGGTGAATCGTCTTTTTCATGATAACGACTTGTTCGTCGATCAATCGAAGATGCTTTACTCGATGGATTCGCGATCCTTTTATCGCCAATCGTTCAGCAATTTTAGTAACAATGCTCCGTGAATCACGTTGATGAAATTTTCACCGATGATCTAACGATTCTTGTGGCTTAATCCTTCACTAGTGATTTACAGAAAACTTGTGATAATCAAATAAAAAAGATGAGTTTTGGCTCTGGGAGGATTCAAACCCGCATCAGTTGCCCGTTGGCGTGACTCAGTCGTTGTATATTAAATCACGCAAATCTAAAATTTATAAAACTAGAAAATACGAATTTTCGGATATTTAGAAGTATTTCTGAATAAATATATCAATTATAATTCAATAAAACTTCCAAAAATAGCGGTAATTTTCCAAGTCGATCATAGGGATGTAATATAATATCTGGTAATTATTCAGATTTTTCTCAATGAATACGATTTTCTATGAATTTTATACTAGGAAATAAAAAGGAAATATATTTAAAATTCATGAAAAAAAAGGAAATAAGGGTGCGGACGTCAGGATGACATCAGCGCCCGGCGAATGTGAATCGGGCGGAAACAGAGTTCCGCTCGGCGATTCTTACGAAAGCGATTACAGACGATTTAGTTAATCAAATTAAGATCTGTAAAAGCCGGAAACAGATCTTAATTAAACAAAGTATATTTTGGTAAATTAAAAACACAAAAATTAATCACTAAATGAAGCGTAAAGTAAGTTTGAAAGCAGAAAAACAGAGTTCCGGCGTCGCGACAGCGATGCGTCGGCGATGCATCGGAATCCTGAGCGTTCGGGAGGATCGTTGTGCAGTGTCCACAGCCTCGAAGGCTCTCCTTGGACAAAGACGACGTGGGCAATCTCTAGATCTTCTCGCGAAGTCTAGAGATCACTGAAATGGGTCGTCGAGTCGTCTCTGGCGGCTGTCACCCGGTGGAGCGGAAAAACGGCGACTTTGCGGCTCTCCGGCGGCTGTCACCCAACGGAGAGGAGCTGGATGGAGGTGGGGCGTGTGTTAGGGAGCTTCATCCTCAGGTCCGCGCAGCAAGAGGAGGCTCTTCATCGCATTTGGTACGCTCTAAGGAGGTGGCGACTTGTCTCCCGGCGGATCGTCCTCTTCCCGACGACGGCTTGTTCGTCGATCAATCAGAGATGATTTACTCGATGGATTCGCGATCCTTTTATCGCGAATCGTTCAGCAATTTTAGTAGCAATGCTCCGCGAATCGCGTTGACGAGATTTTCGCCGATGATCCAACGATTCTGGTTGCTTAATCCTTCACCGGCGATCTGCAGGAAAGTCGCGATAATCAGATAAAAATATATGAATTTTGACTTTGGGAGGATTCGAACCCGCGCCGGTTGTCCGCCCCTTCTGAGGAAGGTGTGATGTGGGTTTAGTCCCACATCGGTTGTGTGCCGATTTTTCAGGCGAATATATAGTAATGTTAGCTTTCTAAGCAAAGTCCCTTCTCTCGCGTGTACGACCACTCCTTGCCCCACAGCCGGCTGGCCACCGGTGATGTGGAAGGGGAGTGGCGCACACGTGCCCCTATCGGTCCAAGCCGCTCGAGCCCCTGCTCGCGGCTACTCCCCGACTGAGCTTCCGACCCGCTTGCGGGCCCGGCTGGTCGGCGGGTCCTCCATTTTGCAATATTTTTATTTTTACTTCTTGTTCTTTATTTATCTCAAAAGTAAGACTGTAAAAATCGTATAAAATTACATAATTACCCAAAAATTCACGTTAATCAACTGAAAACTACTTTTCACACTTTAACACAAATATAAGTCTATTTATCATGAGTTAAGGCTAAAACTATATTATTTACTAATTATTACCTCATGATAATGAAGACTTATCACCCGCCCTTTTTGGGGAAGGTGTGAGGTGAGTTTAGCCCCACATCACTTGTGCGCCAAAATTTCTGACAAATATATAATAATATTATATTTACAATCAAGTCCCTTTCTCATGTGTGTACGACCACTCCTTGCTCCACAATCAATTGGCCACTGGTGACGTGGAAGGAGAGTGGCATACACATGCCCCCATCAGTCCTAGCCACTCTAGCCCCTACTCACGACTCCTCCCCGACTGTACTTTCGACCTCCTTGCGGGCCCGACTGGCCAGTAGGTCCCCCTCATTTTGCTATATTTTTTATTTTTATTTCTTTTTCTTCATTTATCTCAAAAGTAAGACTGTAAAAATTATATAAATTCGTATAAAATTACATAATTACCCAAAAATTCACGTTAATCAAGTGAAAATCACTTTTCACACTTTAACATAAATATAAATCTATTTATTATGAGTTAAGGCTAAAACTATATTATTTACTAATTATTAACTCATGATAATGAAGACTTATCACCAATACATCACAAGCGACCTCAAAGACTTATTGAAAATCAAGTAAATGGAGAATAAGTGCATGAGTCATCTGTCTTTTAATGGTGTCAAAGGCTTTTTTACCGGCATCTGACTATTCAAAAGTTTTACCTTTCAAGCAATTAGTTAAAAGAGCCATCATGGTACTAAAGTTAGGAATCAATCGACGATAGAATGTAGCTAACCCATGGAAACTTCAAATGTCATATATACTTTGAGGAAGGGGCCACTAAGTAATGGCATCTACTTTAGATGGGTCTACGAATACACCTTGTGGAGATAAAATAAAATCAAGAAAAAAGACTTGGTCAATAAGAAAATAATATTTCTTTGGATGGGCATATAGTTGTTCCTTCATTAGGGTTTCACAAACCTGCCTAAGGTAGAGAAGATGCTCTTCTTTGGATTTGTTATAAATTAAGATGTCATCAAAATAAATAACTACAAAATTACCAACAAAAGATCTAAAGATATGATTCATGAGTCATTGGAAGGTACTAGGGACATAGATAAAGCAAAAGGCATAACCTTCCACTCATATAATCCATCTTTAATTTTAAAAGCAGTTTTTCATTTGTTGCTGAGGAGGATCCTAACTTGATGATAACCACTTCAGAGATCAATCTTAGAAAAGATCACAGATCCAGCCATCATATCAAACATATCATCAACTTGGGTGATAGGAAATCAATATTTTACGGTAATCTTATTGATGGCTCTATTGTCAATGCACATAAATCAAGTGTCATCTTTCTTCAAGGTCAAGAGAGTAGGAACGGCACAAAGGCTAAGGCTCGCCTGAATAAATCTTTTATCTAATAATTCTTGTACTTGGCGTTGGAGTTCTTTATATTGAGTAGGGTCCAAACAATAATGGGGGAAGTTAGGAAGAGATGATACGGGCACAAGATCGATGGCGTGCTGGATATCACGTATGGGAGGGAGCTGAATCAGCAACTCATCAGAAAAGATAGTTGAGAACTCAGACAATAAGTCAACAACCTCAAGGGAAGGAGAGGTGGGAGCATCGTCGAAATGATCTGGGATCATGGCTAAACAGATCGAGGGTTTGCATTCTAACTCTCGCTAGAATTGTCTCCCCATAAGGAGGTTTAAGGTAGGTGATGGGCAACTAGGCTGAGGGGCTTTAGGACGCAAGGTATACAAGTGCCAAGTAATCTTCTTACCCTTCCTTATACATGAAGGAGCAAATGTTCGATCAACCAAATTGTTGAACATCATTATCATAAAGTCAAGGACGACCTAGGATTATGCTGCTCACTTTCAAAGGCAATACATCACATAAAACTTTTTCATCATAAGATTGGATCTTAAGAGGAAGGAGACACTAATTTTTAACTGAGATGAAAGTAGAATCAATCCAAGAGACATGATAGGGTCGAGGATGATTGATCAAAAGTAATATAAGATGTGAAATCAGTGTGTCCGACATAGCATTAATGCAACTACCACTGTCTACAATCGTCTTACACATCTTTTCACTAATTTTAATATAAGTATAAAAAATAGAGGTCCTCAAAATATTATCAACAGTAGCTGGCTGGGTAAAGGTACATCGGACTACAGTTACAAGGACAGAAGAAGGAGCACTATGAGAGAGAGGAAGAGAATTAGAGATTTGGATGATACCTGCTGATAAGTCTTCATTATCATGAGTTAATAATTAGTAAATAATATAGTTTTAGCCTTAACTCATGATAAATAGACTTATATTTATGTTAAAGTGTGAAAAGTGGTTTTTAGTTGATTAATGTGAATTTTTGGCTAATTATGTGACTTTATACGAATTTATATGATTTTTATAGTCTCACTTTTGAGATAAATGAAGAAAAAGAAATAAAAATAAAAATATAGCAAAATGGGTGGGACCCCTAGCCAGCTGGGCCCACAAGTGGGTCGGAAGTGCTATTAGAGAGGAACCGTGAGTAGGGGCTCGAGTGGCTAAGACCGATGGGGGCGGGTGTGCACCACTCCCCTTCCACGTCACCGGTGGCCAGCCAGATGCGGGGCAAGGAGTGGTCGTACACGTAGGAGAAAGGGACTTGTTTGCAAATGTAATATTACTATATGTTCACCCGAAATTTCGACGCACAAGAGATGTGGGACTAAACCTGCGTCACACCTTCCTCAAAAAGGCTTCAATGATGTTAATACCTAAAATACCTTTTATTTATAGCAGCGATATACCATGATGATGTCATTTTATAAGGACATTAGAGTATTTATGTCAATCTCTTTTATGTAGGCGTACAACCGGTGCAGGTTCGAATCCTCCCAGAGTCAAAACTCATATTTTTTATCTGATTATCACAACTTTCTTGCAAATCACTAGTGAAGGATTAAGCCGCCATAATTGCTAGATCATCGGTGAAAATCTCATCAATGCGATTCGCAGAGCATTGTTACTAAAATTGTTGAACGATTCATGATAAAAGGATCATGAATCCATCGAGTAAAGTATCTCTAATTGATCGACGAACATGCCGTCATCAGGAAGAGGACGATCTGTCGGGAGACAAGTCACCACCTCTTGAGAGCATACCGGATGCGATGAAGAGCTTCCTCTTGCTGCGTGGACCTAAGGATGAAGTTCCCTGACACACGCCCCGCCTCCATCTAGCTCCTCTCTGTCAGGTGACAGCCGCCAGAGAGCCACAAAGTTGTCATTTTTCCACTCTGCCAGGTGACAACCACCGAAGACAATTTGACGACCCATTTCATTGATCTCTGGACTTCGTAAGAAGATCTAGCGATTTCCCACATCATCTTTATCTAAGAAAAGTCTTCGAGGTCGTGGACACTGCATGACGATCCTCACGAACACTCAAAATTCCAATGCATCGCCGACGCATCACCACTGCGATGTCAGAACTCTTTTTTATTGCTTTCAACTTAATTTTCACTTCATTTAGTGATAATTTGTGTGATTTAAATTTACCAAGATATACTTCATTCAATTACGATTCTTTTGGTTTTTACAAATCTTAATTTGATAAATTAAATTGTCTGTAATCGCTTACGTAAGAATCGTCGGGTGAAAATAGAGTTATATTTGATTCGCGTTCGCCGAGCGTTAATGTCATCTTGACGTCCGCACGCTTATTTCTCTTTTTCGTGAAATTTAAATATATTTCATTTTTATTTTCTAGTGTAAACTTCATAGAAAATAGTATTCTTTGAAGAAAAGTTTGAATAATTACTTGATATTATATTACATCCCTATGATCGACTTAGAAAATTATCACTATTTTTGGAAGTTTTATTGAATTATAATTGATATATTTGTTCAGAAATACTTCTAAATATCTGAAAATTCGTATTTTCTAGTTTTATAAATTTTAATTTTTTGTCATTTACTATACAATGACTAAGTCACGTCACCCGCTAATCCATCATCATAAGTATATTCGTCCACGATAGAATCCTCAAATCAGTAATCTTCCTTCTTAATAGTCAGATCAATAGTAGAAGGCTCAAATCGAAAATCATCATGTCTAATGTGTAGTGCTCTAGATGGGTATTGGTTAGCTCAGTGTCTGCATATGTGGCACTTGAAGCAAGTCACTCTCAGTAGGAGCTTGAGCAATGAAATCAAGAGACAGTGATGGAGTAGAGGAAGCCGAAGGTAGTTGTGGAGCAGAAACAACAACATGAGTATCCAAGCGTGGAGTGAGAATAGAATTAGATTTACCTACACTCGGCTGGGAGCTCATTAGTTGGCTAGGGTAGGAGTAGGAGCGACCACCTTGGATAAGGCGACTGGTAAAAGTAGAGGTAGTAGAAATTTTTTGACATAATTCAAGAGCGGTAGCTTTTCTCACTAAAAACTCAGTTTTGAGGTAGGAATTAAGGCCAGTCTTGAACTGAAAAATGATGACATGTGAATTCTCCTCAATTTTACACTGCATATAAAAATTCTTCAAACTGTGTGATATAGTTAATCACTAGTCGACTTTTCTACTTTAAAACATGCCATTGATGAATGAGATTGTCTAAGTAGACAACAAATACATATTTCTCACATAGTTTATCCTTCATTTATGTCCAAGTTTCTATAAGATTCTCTCTCATCAATTTTGAATAAAAAACTCAATATTGTCTCAAAAGATCTTCGCATGTCCTCCTAATTTCACCTTTGTAAATCTAACCTTCCTAAATTCAAGTATGTCATACCATTTAAAATAACTATTTAGTTTGAATTCCCAATCAAGATAGTCCTTAAGATCTCTAGAGCCCTCATAATATGGAGCATCGACTCAAATACTCTTTTAGATTTGATTCCAATGGTTATCAAGATCGGACAAACGTCAATCACGACCATTATGCTGGTCGTAGGGATCATAGGGAGCAGGTGGACATCTATCATGACTGTTAGGGCTATTATAATGATTGTAGGGGTCAAGAAGATGACGGGCACGATTAGAGAATTAGGTAGCATGAGGGCTAGGATCAGGAGGAAATGGAGCAAGGGGTGGCTCATTAGGTGTAGGAGAATGATGGGAGGTTTGACCTAGGACCTGGACGGGAGGGGGTTAATAGCGTGGGTTTCCTTGGACTTGCAATTCGAGTCAGTGAGTGCATTCATGCACTGCCTCAATGGAACTAGTCAAATGAGTATCCATGTTAGCGACATGATTACTCATATCATGATGGTGAGCGGGATTCGTCTCCATCAGCTCAGGAGACACGAGCAGTCTGAGTTCAGCCCGATCAACGCGCGAAGACGAAGGAGCTTGGCTTTCGCTACACGGCCTAGCCCTTCGGGACGACGACATTCCACCTCCGCGACGACGATGAGCTCGAGCTCACCCTTATCTTTCTTTGTATTTTCACGTTGACTTGTTGGGCCTCGTGTTTGTGTGTTAGCAGGCCCAATTCTATGTGTGTGTGTTGTTGTTTGTGTCTCCCTTTCTTTAGGGTTTATTGGGTCTCTCTTTTGAGGCCCAATTAAAACCGTAAGGGGGGGGGACCTATGTTCCTTTCCTTTGGGCCTCTTTTGGGCTTATTTGGGTCTTCATTTGAGGCCCACTTAAGCGCCATACGAGGGCCCTCCTCTTTCTCCTTTTAGGGGAGCTTATTGGGTCTCTCTTTTAGAGGCCCAATAAGCCCCTCTTGTAGCCTTTTGTGGCTTATGGGCTTGAGGGCCTCAAGTGGGCCCACCTCCCCTTAGCCCACTTGTGGGCCCCATATAAGGGGAGGTAGGACCCCCCCTCAAGAGAGCGCCGTATTTTTGAGAGAGATTATCGTTTTGTGAGTACCTTCTCCGTGATCTAGGATAGGGAGGGAAGGAGGAAGAGGAAGGCCGTCGATACCCCCTTCGAGGACTTCGTTCCTCGTGACGCTGCTGCCCGAGAAGTCCCGCCGCCGCCTGAGACCACTGCCGCCGCCGGCCATCTCATTGCCGCCCGGGAGTTCGCCACCGTCACCGGACGAAACGGTCGCGGTTGCCGCTGCAGCCGCCGCCGCCGCCTCTGCTGGAACCCCGTCAGGCCGTCGTGACGAAAGGGGCTCGCTTCGCCTCCCTACGAGCCGTCGCCGAGCACTCCGCCGGGGTCTCTCGACTCCTGGTTCGACTGCCGCCTCTTCCTTCGGAACTCCACCCCAAACTCGCCGGGGCCGCCCTCCGCCGCTCCGCCCAGTCGCTGGCCGTTCGCCGACGAACGCCAACCTGCCGCCGACGTCGGGAGAGACCTTCCAGCCGTGCCGACGAGCCAGAACCAGTCCAAGCTCCTCACAGGCCCCCGCCGGAGTTTCCCGACGCTCCGCCGCTGTCGCGCCGTTTCCGGCGCCGCTTAGACCAGGAGAGCTCAACCCTCCCTGGTATCGTCGGCCGGATCGTCTCCTTCCTCTGCTCCGCTTCCCGGCGCCACCAGAGAGGGCCGATCCTTCCGGCGACGGTTGGGTCTCCGCCCAACCGCCGACGCTCGGCATTCCCGCCGAAGCGCCGCTGACGCTCGGCATTCCTGCCGAAGCGCCGCTGACACTCGGCCTTCCCGCCGGAGCGCCGCTGACACTCGGCCTTCCCGCCGGAGCGCCGCCGATGCTCGGCATTCCCGCCGAAGCGCCGCTGACGCTCGGCATTCCGGCCGAAGCGCCGCTGACGCTCGGCCTTCCCGCCGAAGCGCCGCCGACGCTCGGCATTCCCGCCGAAGCGCCGCTGACGCTCGGCCTTCCCGCCGAAGCGCCGCTGACGCTCGGCCTTCCCGCCGAAGCGCTGCCGCCGCGCGCGCCCCGCGCGCCCACCCGGCGCCACTGCCCGCGTGCCCTAGGGCACGCTGCGCGGCTTGCCGCGCGCGCCCGCTAGCGTGCCCTTCGGCCCACCTGCGGGCCCACGCCCACGCCGACTGTGCCACGCCTTAAGACGACGACTTCCACGACTCTCGACCAGGACCGACCGCCGACGCTGAGCATCGCTCTTCACCGGACGTCTCTGCCTTCGTCGAATCTCCGCTCTGTCACGACCCGTCAGGTTACACAGCCCTGAAGGTTAGCTCTGTACCCCTTCTTACTTAAGTTTAATTATCTTTCGAAGGGTTTTCTCAGCTCATTTCCACCGCCATCAGGAGCACGTAGACATGATAGGATAGGTTATCAGATCGTGACTTCCAACGTTGTGCCAGACTCGTCACAATTCGTGAGCTACAGCCCTAAGCTACTTCACAACAATAGTTCCGCCGTCTGTCCAGACGTGGACCGAGAGGGCCTCACACTTACCATCGTCGAGTGTTTCCCCGGGTTGTCCTTGGTTGATAGTGCATATTAGTACGCCTATCTGTACTTAGGTTATGTGGTCAGACCTAAAGTCTAGGGTCCAAACATTCTTATCGGATCAGTCCAACTGCCCCATCCTGAGTCTCAAGTTTCATTGATCAGGTACAAAGGTGCTTGCCCCATCCTGCATCATATCACGAATGGCATCTAAGATGTGACTCATCTCACTACGTGATGGTGGTAGTGGTGGTGGTGGTGGGCTTTGAGTAGGGAGAGGATCTTCATGAAAATCATCAAGATGATCATCTATGATGACACATTTACCAAACCTAAGATGCTTATGAATGAGATAATGAATGAGTGTAACTAGCTAATAGAAGGGGTGGCGACATATGTTAAGCTCTAATACCACAAACGAAATGAGTCATTATGTACGATTAAAGCAATCTAACACAAGCAAAGGAGAAGAAAAAATTCAAAAAAAAAAATTAAAATCAAGAAAAATTGTAGGATTTGAGTTTTGATAAGTCTTCATTATCATGAGTTAATATTTAGTAAATAATATAGTTTTATCCTTAAATTATGATAAATAGACTTATATTTGTGTTAAAATGTGAAAAGTGATTTTCAGTTGATTAATGTGAATTTTTGACTAATTATGTGATTTTATATGAATTTATATGATTTTCATAGGCTTACTTTTGAGATAAATGAAGAAAAATAAATAAAAATAAAAATATAGCAAAATGGGGTAAACTTGCCGGCTAGTTGGGCCCGCAAGCGGGTCGGAAGCGCAGTCAAGTAGAAGCCGCGAGCATAAGCTCAAGTGGCAAGGACCGATATGGGCACGTGTGTGCCACTCCCCTTCCATTTCACTAGTGGTCAACTGGAATAAGGGATTTACTTACAAATGTAATATTACTATATATTCACCCAAAACTTTGGCACACAAGCGATGTGGGACTAAAGTCGCATCACACCTCTCCTAGAAAGGCTTCCATGATCTTAATACCTAAAATACCCCTTATTTATAATAGAGATATACTATGATG